ATTTTGGTCAATCAAATCAGGTCAACCAGCAATCGGGCTCATGGGATGCTCCTCCTTTTGGTGGAAAGACTGAGGTAGGCGTGAAATCAAACGTTGAAGGGTCATATGCCTCAGTTCTCTGTAATACGAGTAGTTCCCTCCCTTCCCTTCCACAGAAAAATTGGAGTTCATTATTCAAGAATTCATCCTCTTCAAGTACAATGCAGAACAGTGACAACTGGGGGCCGCCACAGTCTTCCATGTTAACTGTTCCTGATTCAGGTGAGTCCAATATGGAATTTCATGTGATGCCCCTTGTCTGGAGTAAGATAGCTAGTTTTTGTATACTCAAACAAGTGAATGGACTGCAGAACAATATGAAGAAATTGTGGACTTGAAATCAAGTTGTTCATACTCTTCTGCTCCAAGAGGGGTGGGTGATTTGTTTCCACAGGGCTCTTCATTTCAAACTCTTCATGCTGCTGATACGAGAGAGGAAGATGAATGCTCTAAGACTAAGAGCATTGCTTCAGACTGGAATCTGTCAAATTCAGATGAGTCCTATGTGGAACGGGGGTCATTACATGTCACACCTCATTTTTATGGAGAAAGCCAAGCTTTAGAAGATCCTACAGATGATGATGCAAAAGAAATATGTGATGATCCATTGAACAGTGAGATATGTTCAGAGGACAATCAGACCAACGACACTGATCATGAGATACGTTCAGAGGATAATCAGACCAACGACACTTGTCATCTTTTTTCAGCGGCCAGGGTACATGTGGAGGAGATAAGTTCTTTAGTTGCAGCTATGGCTATGGGAACGGAGTCTTTTGATCGACAGTCTGTGGTAGCTCAGGTAACTTACATTGTTCATTGCCTTTAGCTCTTTATTTTATATCTTGAATATTTGTTTTTCATTTTACTCTGATAATAACACTTGCCATGTGCTCTTGAAGTTGATGCTAGAAATTGAAGGATTGAAGGGATCTCAGTTAAGACAAATGCAGAAAATTAGTTCTCTGGAGCAGGATTTGGTACAATCTCTCATCTTACTACGTATTATGTTGTGTTATTTTTCTATGAGAACAGTCTGCCAACAAGTCTTATTGGTCTACCAAATTTTCCTCTTTATATAGTGATTGTTTACATGACCAGCAAACTGTTATTGCACACAGATATCGAGTCATACTGCAGCTTCTCTTCGTTTTATATGAAACACTGAATAATCACTAAATAAATCCTATGATCTACTCTATGTTACTCATTTAGTGCAGACTGCAGTTACTAATGCTTTTCTCTAAGCTAAAATTTGTGCCATAGATCCTAGATGTTCAAAGTGAACTTTACATCAGATGGTGGTTTTTCCCATGCCTAGGCTAATTGCTTAACACAAGTTAATTTTGATATAAGGATGATGATACGGTTCAATTATAACTTGTCCTTTCAATCGTTGAATTTGTTACCTGCTTTTATCTGTAAAAGTATCTGTTTCTAAAAATTAAGTACTGTACATTCCGTGATGCTTGTCCTTATAGGGCACTCTTCCAGACGTGATCAACCTTTGGACATCAGAATGAACATTGCTTTTGCATTAAAAAATCCTATCCCAACCATAACACCCAGCCTACCACAGGATTCATAGTCATTTTGTTGAGGCCATTACAGTAATTTGGTTGTTTTGTCTAGATAATGAGGTGGACATCATTAAAAAAAGCGTAAATTACAATGATACTCCCTGAACTGTATATTGCAACTAGATGAATTTTTATGTGTTCTTCATTCTGTAAAGAAGACCCTTAGCTTAACTTTTTTTTTTTGATATTACAATTAAGGGCATAAAAACAGTTTATATGATTGTCTCTTCCCCACTTTAAATTAATCCTTATGACGGTCTTCTAGATGAAATTTTATTTAAATTGGGTTCAGGTTCAATCAAATCTGGAAATTCAACGATGGAAAAACCAGTGTAATGTGTTTGAATGTGGACCATTTCCTTCAAGTGGGCATGAATCATTGATTGAACCTCATCCGGAAATTGATGTTTCTGTACTTATAGTGGGAGGATTTGATGGTTCTGCATGGTTACCAGCTTTGTGTTCCTATTCTCTTTCTCATGACAGAATGAAATCTCTTAGCCCGATGACCTTTGTGGGTCCATATGCCTCAGCAGCAAAGTTGAATGGTGAACTTTATACTTTTGGTGGTGGACATGGTGATGTGTGGTATGACACAGGTATTAGTACTGAAATTCAAGTCCTTCTTCTGCCTTGCACAATTTCGTGACCTTTTCATATGGCAGTAACGGTAGAATTCTATATGTTTCTAGTTGAATCCTACGACCTCACAAGAAATCAATGGGTTAGCCAACCTCCTTTAAATCAGAAGAAAGGACATTTAGCAGGGGCTTCTTTATATGACAAAATTTTTGCTATTGGCGGCGGAAATGGGGTTGAATGTTTCTCAAATGTTGAAATGTTTGGTTTGAATAGTGGAAGGTGGATCTTCACCCAGGCAATGCATCAAAAGGTATTTCAAAACTTTTATTTTCATTACAAGTGCTACAAAAGGGTGACCTGCACAAGGATCCCGCTACTGTGGGTTTTGGGAAGAGTTGGATGTACGCAACCTTATCCCTACATGTCCAAGGGGGGCTTTCTGTGACTCAAACTAATGCCCTGGTCACACAACCTTACTGGTGCGCTAAGGGCTACTCTCTATTATACATGCTACAAATGCTTAAAACTCACAAAAAGGCACGATGACACACAATATATATGACTTATTTTGAGGTGAATAAATGTTATGTTTTTAATTTGAGATGAACACTTTTAAAACACTTGAAATATTGGAGGATGAAATGAAATCTTGAGAAAGTCCAAATAAAAATTGGAGTAGTACTCTTGCTCCCTACTAAGGTATTTGGCTTATTATTTCATTAATGGGTGTTGCTAAGGGTTGAGATCATGTTACCACTAGCTTCTTGTTAGAGTCAGCTCTTTGTACAAATGTCCTAAAGGCGCAGTTACTTGCAAAGTATATCGGCTGTACTCTCAAGTGGATATGGAGCACCTATCCAATTCACGACTTGACAGAGCTATAACTGTGGGATATGCGTCCTTATGTTTTTGCAAACCGAAGTAGAAGAGTGAAGAAAGCTCAATTTAAGCGTACCAACTTTAAAAATCTTTAGCCTTGTGTTGAATTTGTTTTGGAGAATGGAGCTGTTGCTCATTGGTTAGGTAGGATTAATTTGAAGAAGCAAATTATTTGACTTGTATAAAACTCAATTAAGTTGTTAGGCCCCTGACTGAAGCCTTTTGAAGTTGGAACATCCGACAAATTAATAAAGTGCAGGTAATAATGGAACTCTAATACTGGAAAGAGTTCACCTTTTTAATCGGTTATCCAGTACTTATAAAACTATATTGATTAAAAGTAGCTTGATGATATATCGTTCATCTTGGGACATTCTTCAGTTGTAGGATTTTTCTTTCTTTCTTCCCTTCTTGACCTCTGCACTGCATAAGAAAAACACACACAAATGCAAAAAGGGTTGTTAAGGCTGGGAATTTGCTAAACCTCAATTTGGTTGAATGTTTGTCTTTTTGGTCCTTCAGCGATTCGCTCCAGCTGCAGCAGAAATTAATGGTGCACTCTATGTCGTTGGTGGATATAATGGAAGAGATTACTTGAAGTAAGATACCATTTCGAATTATTTATATCTTCTTTTTGTAATTTTCTGGTACAATGTTTGATGAGTAATGTTTCTCCACCTATTAAATGAATGCTTATTCCTTAACTTTGTTGTCTTTGATGATTGTCACTTACAAAAACTGGAAAATAGATTTACTGGAAAATGGATACTAAGGAAATTTGTGAATATTGATAATTTTCGTTGTCCAATAAATAAGCTTTTACTCGTGCTTTTACACTAATCCGTACATTTGTCAAAATGAAAGGAAAGATACATAGTTAAGTGCCACCAAATTTAGACTACATTTATGTGGATTGGCTTTAGTTTCATAAGTCCAATGATACTCCTTGTCTTGTGAAGAATTTGACTTCTTGAGGTTAAGGGTTCAAGCTCCCTCCCTTCTCCCCCCTCTCTACCCCAAAAAAAAAAAAAATTCATAAGAAGGGGGGAGATCTTGGCAACGTGTATACGCAAGGACCAAATTTCATTTCTCAACGGCCGAAACGTTTTTGTTTGAAGGTAGACCGAATTAAATCAGTAATTGAATTGAAATTCCAACGTTTCGAGGTATTTCAACATATTTGCACCAATGTTTTTATATGTTTTGATATAATTTGACCAATAGTTTGAAATGTGTTGAAAATAAATTCTCAAGCTTTTTTTTCATTTTCATTTTGTTTTTGAAACATTTTCGAAAATATTGCCAAACTATTTATGTTTGTTAGGTGACCGCAACAAAAATTTTATCCTTGTGTATGTGTACTGCCACCTATTGTATCACAAGCACATTGAGCGGCCACTTTTATGGTATTATAGAGATTTTGGCTTTCAGTTGAGAGATGTTTTTTGCAGATCTTGTCCATATTTTTTTCACTTGATATTGTCAAATATGTTTCATGTGGTCTTAAAAATTCATGGGGCTTTTGACATCGGAGTTTCTATTGTTATTTTAGATCTGTTGAAAGATTTGATCCTCGAGTGCGGTCATGGACTAGACTAGGCAGTATGAACACGAAGAGGGGATGCCATTCGTTGGTTGCGCTGAATGAAAAATTGTAAGTTTGAATTTTGTTGATTTTGTGTTGTTGATGGAAATGTTTAAATTCGTGAACCTCGCATAAGATGGAAATGTCATGATCATTTTTCCCTGGTTTTGCAATCCTCCTATATGTCTACCGAATTCTTAAATGATTGCTGGACGTGGAAAACCCCAATCCTTCTATTATTTTTGTGATCAGTGTTAAATTGGTACTGATCATAGTCCAAATTAATCATCATATTCAAGAGCATGTTAATGGAAAATTCTCCTTGCAGATATGCCATGGGTGGTTGCAATGGGACTAGTATGGTTTCAACTGTTGAAGTTTTTGATCCTCGGATTGGTTCGTGGATGGCTGAGGAATCCATGAAGGATCCAAGGGGATTTTTTGCTGCAATTGTGAGTGGGGGTAAGATTTATGTGATCGGTGGTCTGGACCATAACAGCACTATTTTAGAAACGGTATGCAACCCCCAAGTTTTTTTCGCTAATTATCGAGTTTTAGTCTTCCATTACATCCTTTTTTATGTTCTCATAATTTCTACAACATTGTGACCACAGATTGAAAGTTACGATGAGGGTTCCGGTTGGCAGGTGACTAACCTGAAAGCTGTTGGGAAAAGAGGCTTCTTCTCCGCCCTCGTGCTTTGAATTGAGGGGCAGGAGGTTACACAATCTCGTTGATAACCTCTATTGCTCGTAAGTGTCTACAGGTTCATAGGAGTAGGCCTTCTTCATACAAGTAAATTCTGTAAATACACATTATCTAAATCCGTTAGAAAAAGCTCGTGTTGCAGTATCTGAAGCCATGTTTTGAACTAAGAACAATCTTGTTGGCTTCTCCTAACCGTTGATGGATGTATATTCTCCGATTGTGCTTTTATAATGCTTAGCCATTTAAATAGACTATCGAAAGTCGCACGCTGTGTTAGTGCCATCTGGATCTAACGGAAAAAAAAAAAATTATGGTACTGACTTGTACTATACCAAATATATGGGATGAGTTCCAATCCTTGCCGATATAAGAGGGGTACAGTGTTACACGAGTTTATATGCCATGTTACCTAAATTTCTAATTGATACCTGCAGGCATATATGCAGCTTAGTTTCCAGCTGCAACAGGCTGGAACGTTTTGATGTCATGAAATTAATGCAAAACCCACTACAGCCCGATTGTTTGAAGGCAGGGCTGTTAATCATATTAAGCTACTCTCGAGCTTGGTTTGAGTTTGATTCAGATTCGATTTATTAAGGCACAATTTGTTTTTTAAACAAATCTGAATTTGAATAATTTTTTAAATTCATTTATAAAATAAATTCTATAAATTCGACTCAAACTCAACAAGTTCAATTCGTTTATGTGTAAATACTCGAGTTTGGCTTAGGTTCAACTTGTTTTTGACTTGTTCAGAAAAATGAGTTAAACTAGAATAATTTATTAAGCTCGATTAAGAAAACAAATTTTTTAAGTTTAATTCGAGTTCATGCAACTAACAGTCGTACTTGAAGGCTGTAGCTATAATGTAAAACCCACTTGTACTTGTTCAAATTGTGCATGGTCAATTTCTGGGGCTTTTTTCAGATTGAGAATTTGTTTAGTTTATCATAAATTATTGCGTAGCCACACCCGATATATAAAATGTGATAATAAGGAGAAGATGGAGAATATATAAAATAAAATGTAATATTGTTTTTTGTTCAAGTATCTGGAGTTTATTACTATAAATGTCTGCAGTACGGCAGTGGCTACACCTTTTGCCCCCAAATTTTGCACAAGGAAACGAAAGCAGAAGACGGTGGGATTTGAGAAAAAAGCAAACTGCAAAACTTAGAGCTAGATAAAGGAAGGATGAAAAGCAACTGTTTGAGATGGCACAAAGTTTACTTTATATCATGAAACGATGGCAAGACCGCAATGAGGGGATCTCCATAACTAACAGCTTCTGCAAATTACAATAAAGCGAATAACAATGAGCTGAAAGTCTTGTATTTAATATAAGTAACTCAAAAAACCCTTACGCTACGAAATATTAAAAAGCATTTTCCGAGTCAATAAATCAATATCATTACTACAGCATTCGAAAGGAACAGGGTTTCTTGGTCACTTTCTCATTAACCTCTTAAAAGTTGATTTTTTTTTTTTGACCTTGTGTCGTGTTCAATTTTCTTATTTTACATTTTTTTTATTGCTTTACAATTTTTTCAATCAAATAGTTGCAAAACATTCAAATTCAATGTTGAGATCAGTGCAGGTACAGTATCAACCGAAGTCGTTACTGTAGCATTTTTTGAACTTGTGCCGTGTTCAATTTTCTTATTTTACAATTTTTTTTATTACTTTGCAATTTTTCAATCAATAGTTGCAAAACATTCAAATTCAATAATTGAAATCAATGCAGATACAGAACCAACCGAAGTTGTTACTGTAGCCTTATGCGGCAGGTAGCATTCATCTGCCAAGTACATATTTTCTACTAAAACTAGGATTATTGCAACCAACAGAGTATGGAGAAAATGACTAGCCCTTGTACCACGCAGATGAAGTGCAATGAGTTGATGCACTTGGTCAGAAGTTCATAAATATTTTACTTAGCTGCACATTGAGATGCCACCATGTCCAAAAAACAAAAGAAATAGATAAAAAAAAAAAAACGTTATGCCACGACGTACTTGTGTGTGCTCCATGTGAAGCACGTGGTAATAGGCTAATAGCATCGTATTACTACACCCGCATTTTAAACTTGCCAATTATTAGGAACAATATTAGACATGTATATATCAGAAATAATACCTCCATCGTTGAAGAGGATCTTCAAGACTTCCCCGTCCACATCCGACTGATTAATGATTGCCACGTTAAGAGGGTTGGGGGGGGGGGGGGGGAAGAAGGAAAAAGTGTGATGAGAAACACTTTATCATGACAACAGAGGCACAATTGAGGGGTTTTATCACAAAAACTCACCTTGACAGGAAGTTCAGTGCCAAACTGATCCAAAAAGCCAATCACTTGTCCCTCTTTGATTACATCACCCTATGCATGTGAGAAAAGCAAACTAGAATTATGCATCCACGGTGATACTCCCACAAATAATGTGTCGGACAAGAGCTTAGTAATTTAAATAATATGCATAAACCGAGCAATGATACTCATTGTGATGGATAAACTATATGCACAAAAACATGCAACCTAAACGTCAAAGATGTAATTTAGCAGATAAATCACGTCAATTTGGTCTCATTGCGATTTTGGTATTAAATCACATAAATTTGGTATTAAATAAATTAGATCTTTTGGTACCAAATCGAGTTCATGAAGATTTTTAACTGTAGAAAAGTGGTGAAGAAGTGTACTTGGAGACCGAATTTGAATAGATGCAGGCATGGCATTAAAAATGTCGATTGAGGTGAGGGATTCAATTCTGACTAATATATACCAAAATTAAGTACAAATTAATATGCATACCTCTTTACAGCTAGGAGGTTGCTTCTTTCCTTTCAATGTTCTGCCCCTTCGGAACGAGCCAACCTGTGGGTAAAAGAAAAGTTGTTTTGGCTATTGAAATAAAAAGTGTTCCATACAAATAATATGCAAAAATGGATCATTAAACACTTACTATGGGAGATGATACTAGTACATATCCATTAGATCCAGAAGCCTCCAATGCTGCTAACTTTGCTGAATTCTCCACAGCGACGTTTGTAAATGGACTGATTTTTTGTGTAGAGGATTTTGGTGGTGACAGTGGTGGGGCAGCAGCAGCTGACTCAATCATTGGCTTACTTGGAATAGGTGGTGGCATTGTTGGAGAAACAACAGGTGTGGGAGCTGTTATGGCTCCGATGTTCCGCTTCATATGCATTTCAAAGTCTCCAACCTTTCACCAAATAATATATGCAAATTATAACCAGACCCGTCATTTGTTGATTACATAAGAAGTCATCATTCATTATTATTGATTCTTGGAGTGGAAATACTGTTACTTCCCAATTCCAGGCTCATCAACTGGGTAAAGAAATCTTTAACTCAAACCATCAGTGGTTGCAGACCCCATTTATTGTGACTCACATTATATTTGAGAGCCAATGAGATTGGTCAACAAGCCACACTAGAAACTAAATTAAACCATATTATATGTTCTTCTGGCTGAAGTCCTTAAGCATGCAGAAGCAGTGGTGCAACTTGGGCTTCAGTACTTGGACAGAGGTTTTCAATTCTCAATTTGATTCGGTTTGGGCAAAAAAAATCCCAACCTGAATTGAATTCGGACAATATTTGGTTTGGGTCTCAGGTTTTCAGAACACAACCTTATCCTGGAAGAATTCATGATTCCGGTTTCAACCTGAAATTAAGCATATTATGTATATGACCATGATTAGGGCACTCTATCTATTTCTCTCATCCCATTCCTCTCAGGCGTTTCCTCCTCTCCCTTACAAACTCATACTCTCAGCCAGTCACACTCTTCTCTCTCTGTCTCTCTTACATTGCATTGGTGCACCCTCCTCTCAGCCTCCACAAATCTCCTCCTATTGTCAACTGCATTCCTACACTTATTTTCTATAGGGGCAGAAACCATGGAAAAGGCTGTAAAAAAAACAAAAAAAGAGAGATTGAAGATTCATATCCCACTCTGTCACTTTCTTTGTCCTTTTTGCAAGGAAAATCATTGTCCATGAAGTTTAATATTATGTGAGAGATGGCTTGAAGGGAAGCAGGAGGGATATGGAAAGTTTCAATGAGCCACGTGCTCATAGTATCACCTATTGCAAGCAAACTACGAAGCACGGATACTTCTCAGTTTCGGACACGTGTCCGACACAGACATGGCCGGACAAGTGTCTGACACACGGCTAGAAGTGTCCTGAATAGTGAACTCAGTCGGACATGTCTACAATATGGCCATGACACGGTCAAGAATTTTTTTATTAAAAAAAATGACTTTTAACTATCAAAAAGAGTGTGATTTTTATTTTTTTAATATATTTTTTGTTATATAACTTATATAGTATGAATGTTAATAAATGCAATGATGTTTGATGAAAATAGTGGATATTTAATTTGATCTATTTTAATTTTAATCAAAAAAAAATAATATATACTAGGTATTATTATTAATATTTGTTATAATATATGCTTTTTTTTAATATATTACAACTCTACTATTATTTAAAAAATATTTTATATTATTTTAATAGCCGTATCCTTGCCGTACCCATGTCGCATATTTTTTAACTTTGTTGAATCTCTGTATCCGTATTGTATCGGATACGATACCCGTGTCTGTATTCATGCTTACTAGCATGCAAATAACATGCACCATTTATGAGCTTTATCTATGTGCAGGTTTCAAGGATTTTCATTAATGGTTAACATATTTAAAAATTAACAGCCACCACCTTATAATTCCTACTGAAGAGAAGATACTCATTCCTTGCAACATCAGAATTTGCTTACATTAGGCAGCAATGGTAAATTTTGTATGGAGGCAAACAAATTTTTTAGAAGGTACACATGAGATTACCTTTAGCTTGAGCTCAGCAATCTCTGTCTCATCACAGACTTCCTGAACCAAGGCCTGAAATGAAAAGATTAATCCTACTGGTCATGTTTCAACCCAGAATGAAAGGAAGAAATTACACTCAGGGTGAAGGAAGCACAGAGTTGTAATTATAATTGAATGTTTGTGAATAAAAAAGCCAGACACCCACCCTGAGTATGACATATAAGGAACAAGTGAACAACAAGAATGACTAGGTAGATGGCCAAACAACTGTTTTATATGCAGAGCATATATGGGGTTTGATATAAAAAATGAGATCACTGAGACCTTATGTTAGTGAATTGCACCACCACATTAAATTTGATCTATTATGAGAATCTATTGATCACATGTGTCAGATAAGCTTTAACAGAATAGTCATAAGTTCATTTATAGAAAAGAACTGTAAAACCCAGAGGGAAAAATAGATATATCATGAATGCCCTATGGCCATGATGCCTTCACAATGACTTGCTCTTCTGATGTGACATTTATCATTCAATGCTTTACTTTCTGCAGAAAAAGTCTTCTACATTTTGAGAAACTAATTTGCTTAGCAGAATGGACAGCAACATGGCTCAAAATTAAACTCTTGCTCCAGAGAAAGGCAAGTCTGGTTTTAATCTTTCATGGTGGATCCTTAGTAATTTTTTATTTGCAAGCGGCATACTAATAACGAACAGCACAACCCTAAAAAATAGAATCCACAAACTGATTCTATTCACCCACATGCAACTCAAAATCTTGGTGGGAAATGTAAGTCTGAAAGTTTCACAACTAGGGCTATTTTTGCCCAAATGCATCTCCTCACCACGGCCAACACAAAATAAGTTCCAAGGAATACATGAGAAGTGTCGACATTGTGGTTAGCGTACACAAGTGTTCCACCGTTGATGATAAGTCCACAGATAATCCACAAAGTCACAAGGGGATGCAGGAAAGAAAACAAGCTTCACAGAGACAAACTTACCTCAAACCCAGAAGGAAATGTTGCGGTTTGCAGAGAATTTTTCTGCAGTGATCCTTCTAGACGGCTATCTGATTAAAAATCTCCAGCATGGTTACCATATTTGGGAATCAAAATGGCAGATAAAACGTTGAGAAATGCCATATAGTAACATAGCACATATTTACCAAAAATACATAGTACATACACAAACAAAAAACATTACCAATAATAGTTCACAGACAGTTCTTAAATCAAATCCCAAATCCAATAGGAATTGATTATTATATCAATCAACTCAATTTTTTATTGAGAACAGTGAAAGTATTAGTCCATGCAGTAAGAAGGGGAAAAGGAAAAATGAGATCCAAATGTCTGACAAATCAGAGTGAAATACTAGTCAAAACAAGTAAAGGGAGACATCATGGCAGTCTTTGGCCAAAAGAAACTAATGCTGAATCTAGATCGAAATGGAAACAGCTCACCATTGGACTTGGCAGTCGTAGCAGTTTCAGATGTCTTTACACATGATACGAGTATAATTTCCCGCTTCATTGGAGAAGAAGCAAGCTTCCCACCAAATGTTAAGCCCTGGATGGGCGATCTAATTGAATTGCGAACCATGCCAGGCTTCTCAATCATGGGCACATGTGAAGCAGTGCCTATAGAATCTGAAATTCCATATGACAGATCATTGTCAAATTGCAGGTAAGCTTCAACTACAGTTACCATGCACATAAAGCAAAAGGCTAATGAGTATATAAGCACAAAAGAACTCGAAAAAATATTGGTGAATGAGACTCATTGGGCGATCAAATCATCAAACACATAAGATGTTCCTATAATCCTTCAAGCATGGAGAACGGCCAAAAGAAGGAGATCGCCACAAACAATGAGCATCTCATGAATCATGACAGCCAAGTTGAGAGGCATTTTCAGAAATCCACATCTAGATTTTTGCCCTTTACATTTAACTTGGGCAAAATCAAAAGCACTTCAATAATACTGTTGAAATGTCCCCGGTTGAATTATGAAAGAATTCAAAGGAGGGAATAAAAAAAACAAATAGACTTCATTTAGAGACATGTTATTTAAGTTAAAGAATAGAAGCACAATATATGCTACAAAAGAGAGGCATCTTTGACCATGCACGAGCTTTTATCTGTTCCATATGCATGTTAACCAAAACCAAAAGCTCTTCAACATTCTGCGTCATCTGCATGTTTTTTCATTGCTCCTTTTCTTATTTAGGGACAATAATTGGACCAAAAGGATTTACAGTAATCTCCCAGAGCAAAGGCTGGTAAAGAGAATCTATATGCTCAACCAGAATAAAAAAACAGTTCCTCTATTTTTGGAGCAGCAACTGAAAAAAGAGGCAAAAGAGGATTACTAAAAAAAAACATGGACAGCAGTTTTTTCTCAGATTTTGCTGGAAACCTCTGTTTTCCTTTAACAAAATTGAACATGATCATGCAGAAAACATGACTTTGTTGCATTTCAAAAGTATAACTTTTCCAGATGATTATATGATTATTTTTCAGAAGCACTTTTGCTTTTATAATTTTCATTGTTTTCTTTAATTTTGTAGAGAAACAAAAAAAGTATTTCACCAAACAATTGTGAAAAAGAAATGAAATCGAAATAGTCACACAATGCTAAGTACACTACTGAGAGCTCGTAAGCTTATTTATATGCACCTCTTTTATTTTATCCAAATATTACTATCATTTGAAAATATTATCGTGAATCATGTAGATTAAATAATTATGGAACATAAGAATAACTATGGCTTAACATTACAGAATAAATGAAACTGCAGATAACCTTTCTTCAATTGGATCCATTTAACTCACCAGGATAAATTTACTACACAAAATAGATTCGTATAGCACGCCAGGCCAAATCACAAACAGGCGCACACAATCACAACATAGTTTATGCATATCAAGAGATATTCCAATAGGATAACGAGTTTCAATTTCAAACGCCGGATACATAAAAATTGGAAGAAAAAGAAAAAAAAAAACTCAACACACACAAACATATGAACGCACAACACACATACAAACATAAGAACGCACAAAACATACATAACGTGGTTTGTTGGATCTGAAAATGCAACCAAAACGGAAACGAGAATGCCAAATCATCAGTCAATCAAAGCGACCTCTAAGCTAGGATTCGTATCACTGAAAAGCATTTACCAAAAAAAATGGCGACCTACAGAGCTCCAAGATAACAATCATATCACACAAAAAACAAACGTACGCTTACTTGATCTCTACACGCACAGAGATGTAAAGACATACACATAATTCACATATCTCCACATTTCCAAACATATATATATATATATATATATATATATATAGAGAGAGAGAGAGAGAGAGAGAGAGAGAGTCTTACAGTGGAAAGAGCGGAGAACAGTAGCTGACTCCATGGAAGGAGCAAATCGATTGGAGAAAAGGCTGAAAAAACAAGGAAGAATTAAGATCTCTGAGAAATCAAATGAGAAATGAAGACGTCTTAATAGAGAGAGAGAGAGAGAGAGAGAGAGAGAGAGATGGGAAAATTATAGCTGAAAGGCCGAAAATATACGAGGGTTGGTTAAGCACAGTTGTAAGTGGGGGTGTGCCTTTTGAAGTTTGAAGTGTCCGCCCGCTCTCAATTGGTTTCTCCACCCACTGCTACCGTTTTTCGGTTCAGTTTGCTAACGTGCGCCTCTCGTGTTTTTTCGCTAAAGTGCAGCCTTTACAAATTTCATCCATTTGGACAAAAATTATTACTCACATGCTTAATTTGAAAAACGGGTGTAAAAAATTTAGATCAAAAATAACTTAATTGTATGTCCTTTGAAATTTAAAATTGAACAGCTTACAAAATTAAAAAACTATCATTAAAAAAATAGAAGAAACATGTCACCTTATTTCACGTAAAATTCTGAATAAATTTTCAATGTTTTTATCTCATTTCCTACAAAAGAACACTTGAGAAATGTTTGGATCATTTTTGGGAAATGAAAATTTGATTGGTTTTATCAAACTCTTGTAAACTCAATCTCCATCTTTGTGTACATGAGATTTATTAGAGGTGTTTAAATTTTTGATTGGTCACAATTTCCTACCCTACTCGCCTCTATTCTATCCTACTGAGCGGTTAGTTGAAAAAATTGAATAGGAGGTCTTTCGATTAAATCGGGTATGAATGCGAAATACCCATCAATTTTCGCATTCCTACCCTACCCTATTCGCAAAAAATATATTTAATTTTTTATAATTTTTTTAGTAATTATAAGAGTATTTGTGTGATATAATTTATATTATAACATTGTTATTGTTGTGGATATTTGAGTTGCGAAAATATGAACTTGTTTTTTGTGTAGGTTACATGATTTGTGGTGAACTAGTGATCTGTTGGAGCATTTATGATTTTAATGTATTTCATATGATTTAAACTTAAAATAATTGTTATTATATTTGTATAACAATTATGATGGATTGATGTTCATATTTTCTTATGTTTTATTGTAATTATTGTTGTAGTTGTTTTAGATTTTAGTGTTATTGATTTATTGTGTTGTTAAATTGATATCTGTTATTTAATTGAATTGTTAAAATGATTCAGAAATTAATAGCTACAAAAGTATTTACCTGACTTCCTACTCAACTTCTTACCCGATTAATCGGGTAGGAAATCGGATAGGAATACCACACCTGATTGGGTAGGGTAAGTTAAAAAAAAAAAATTTCGCAAAGTATCGGGTAGGAAGACGAAAAACTATATTTTCTACCCGTAAGGTATGGTAAACACCCCTAAGATTTATAGATGATTCATATACATACTCGTATTTGGTAAATAACATATACGCATGTGAAAACCTACTGATTAATCATAATTATAATTAAGCATTTGTCATGTAATTCACTAAATTGTCCATTGGTGATGTATATGAGATTTTTTGTTAGGGATAAAATGATCATTTGACATAGTTTTTTTTTTTTATTTGACATAGTTAACCTAAATTAGCATCTATTAAACCCACCCCACTTGGATTTGCTCAACCCCATGTATATGGATTTAATACTTCGGACCACTTACGACCTAGAATATGAGTCGCTGATTGAAAAATCTTAATCAAATATGGGACGAAGGGGTTTATCCGACCATTTTACTTAAACTCACCCTTCTAAACCCATCAAACAAACATGCCCTTAATGCTCCCGATGTTGAGGGTAATTGTGCACATCTAAATTATGTATTGTAATAATAGGTTTAAAAGTTATGCAATTTTGTTTTTAGCCAAACGTTATTACAGGAAAAGAAATTGTGACAACTCGTATTAAAAATTAATCACTAACATGTAATTTAAGTAGTTAATTATGATCTTATATAGTTAATGATCATTTTTTAAAATTTCAAATGAACAAATAAACCTCAAATATAATTTTTTTTATGTGAAAACAAGTCAAATAAATATAATATAGGTCATACTTCGTATTAAAATAAAATGTATAATCCATTACATATAAAATATATGTGAATAAATATATAGATCACAATAGAAATGTGGTCTATTAGAATTAAAAAAAAAAAAAGAGAAGCAACCATGAGAGAATGGACATTTGTCCAATGGCTTCCTTGGAGGCCAAGCCACAAATTGGCTATAAATAGCCATCACTTGGCCATTCGACCAATGCAGCAAGAGAAGAAAAAGAGAGAGAGGGAGAGAGAAATTTAGGAGAAAAATTGAGTGGTGAATTTTGCTTTAAAATTTAAGTATTTGATTCTTAGTATTTCGAATTTAATATCTATCGGAGTCATTGTTGGATTTGAGGTACGGGGTAATGTACAATATGCTCCTATCTTTTAAATCTCTTTTGCAAATAGTGTCATTTCAATATCTGAAATTTATGTTATTGTTGATTATTCTAATTGATACGAAATTCTGTCAATGTTATAGGTTGACTTGTACATTGAGTTAAATACTTTGGGATTGATTGGTACATGTACGAAGTGTACTTGGTGAAACGTGATTATGGCCTTGCGGGGTGCGATTGTGATTACAGCCTTAAGGGGTGTAATGGTTCGATATGAGTATGAATTTTAAATGTTCAAGTGTCACTTGTCATATCACCAAGAGGACCCGAGTATGAGGCTATGTTTGATAAAAATTGAGCTATATGACTTATCGAATTAAATTCTTGATTCTTTTATCTATGATTGTCTATCGGATGAATTATTTGGTATTTGATCATTTATATATTTTTTTTTCATTGAGCATATTGTTTCTTGTCATATTGTATACTTCCTTGCCTTTAATATTTTTTTCAAAAATATATCAAAGGGAAGGACCAGAGTTGATATTTGAGGAATCGACGACGACCGAATTTTGATATAATTTTTACTTTTTATTGGTATTTGGAGATTAACATAGTGATTATAAATTTATTGAGGCAATTAGAGCTCTGGTCCTGTACTCAGAGATTTATTTATGGTTTATTACCGATCGATTGATTTAATCAAGTAACGAGTTCGGGAAACTGAAGCGTTATAGAAATGATGAGCTTCGAACCAAGAGCTATGTAATTGGAATGCTCTATTTTTCTTATTTATATCTATATCTATACTACTTTAAAATATCAACATCCATGAAAATTTTTATTTTTTTTCACTTTTGTCCTCTAAAACTATAACTATAACTATGTCATCCTTATCCTTCAAAATTAATGTCACACTAATTTTGTCTTTCTGTTTCTATCCTCAAACAATTATATCATATTTTGTAATTTAACTCTTAGATCATTCCTATTCTAGGAATAAATGAATACATCTATATCTGTATATTTGTACTATATATATAAATTGAATTATAAATGTTAATTATTCTTCAAAATTTTAATTTTATTTTTTATCCTTAAATAATATAATTAGATCTTTTTTATCCATATTTTATATTCATTTGTTACAAAAGAATGAAAAAAAAAATTCTCAATTCTAGCAATAAATTGGCACATTTCTCCTTCGTTCCATCAGCTTTTAATTATTCCTATAATGACAATCATATCATTTATGTTTTTTAATCTTCGTTTGTGATAAAACTTTTGCTCTAAACTTAATTAGGTGAATGAATAGATAATTAACACTAATGCCAAGAGAGATATTTGTCCTCTTCCATGTTAAGCCCTTCACCTACTATTATTTTATTTGGTTATCATTACCTAACTTTTATGTTTGCCTTTCTAAATTGTCAAATCTTTATTGAAAATGAATAAGACATTCTTTTTATCATCCGCAATAATTATGCTATGACCCATTAATCAACATCATTCCTATACAAGATAGTTTTCAAGATCTTCAAAAGAAACTAACAAAGAGAGTTAAGATTGGTATGTACTTTGCAACATTGTGAAGGTTTGATGCGATCTTCAATATATACACAACAAAAAGGCTAGGAATTCTTTTCCATATTCCATGGTTAACCTCGACTCTTTCTCTAGCTATTGGTTCTCTCATTATATTCATTTCATGGGCAACAAGGATTGTAGAAGCACCAAATTAAGACTGATATTTAGTTCTAAAAAACCTTTTTCCCCGTAAAAATGTTGGGTTTAATATTTTTAACATTTTTACTCCCTAGGTTTGCTTTATATTGAAATTTTTATGATTTTTGTTTGGTCTATTAAAAATTTCAATGATCTTGGCCTATTTTATTTTTAAGCTTAAAAACTAGATTCAATGTGTTATATTGATGTTTTTGTCATTTTTTGAGTTTAACATATACGATTAGGCATTTAGCAGCAATGGTGAGTATGCCGAAGGTGATGAATGGTGAGCATGCTTTCTGTGTACTAGTTTCAATGTTCCTTTTTGGACAACTTCATATAAACAATCCATAGATCAGAAAATTTTCTAAAAGGTCATTCTCTGCCATTAGTTGCATATATTTTTTTTGTATATTTGCATAATACAATTTGTTTCGAACCTGTTCAATTGCTTAAGTTAATGGTTTTTACATTGCTTGAAATTTCTTACCAAAAAAAATGGTTGCGTTGGATTTTGGATTGTGAAGCTAAAATTGAGTTATCGTCACAATTTTTATAGACAAGTTTCTTAACTTCTTGTGATTTTCTACACCAAATACCTACAAGCAACAATCTCCATAATCATTATTTTAAACTAAAGTTTTATTAGTTTCTTAGCTAAACAACCATTACAATATGTGTGTGTGTGTGTGCGTGCGTGTGTGTACACACACTACTAAAACAAAGGATTATGTTGCTTATAGTATTCGAAAAGTGGGAATTGACTAATTCTTCAATTAACTAAAAGTAATGATGTGTTCAAACATATATTAAGATTACAAGTTTTAGGTTGAGTGTCTCTATTAATTCCTTGTACTAACATAATATATGTTTATCAAGAAATGCTCATAGCCACTCTTATTCCAAATATGTGGAAAAGATAATGAAATAGTTGAAATACATGTGTTTTAAGTGTAAAAAGACTTGCAAGAGTTGATTTGCTACTGATATGAAATGTAGAGTTGATTAATTATTTTTGAAAGTATTCCACAACTTCAATACATAAATACTTGTGTTAATTGCACTAGAGGTTCTCAAAGTATAGAGTTTGTCTCATTGTGATTTTCAATATTTCAATTATATCATTTTGGTCCCTGAAGTATTAAATAGGTTTTTATATGGTCTCTTAAGCAAACAACGCCCAGATTACTAATATTTTTTTATCATAAACTTGTCATGTGATACTTAAATATGGTCAAAAAAATAATATGGATAACTCTTGACTAAATTTTTACTCAAATTTTGGTTAAATAACTACCTAAATTACATAATTTTGATCCTGAACTATCCACATTTTGGTCAAAAACTACTTATATTACATATTTTTTGTTAAGAGTTACCCAAATTTTGTTTAAGAGCTATCAAAATTATTATTTTTATTCATATTTAGGTATTGCATGACAAGTTTATGATAAAAAATTATTAGTAATTTGGAGGTTGTCTGTTTAAAGGATTATACAGAAACATATTCAATACTTTAGGTAGTGTTTTAAAACCTGGCCCCGGCCCAGCGAGTCAACTCGATAAATCGGTGAACCGGTCCTCTAACCGGGCTGGTTCTAACAAAAGACCATTTATGCAAAAAACCTTGGATAAACTCATTGAACCGGTTAAAAATCGGTAAACCCGTGAGAACCAGACTAGTTTACCAAACTAGCCGATTTAACTCCATTTGTATAAATGTGATATTCTTTTCATCTTTTGGGCATTTTGTGACTTTTTCCTCTTTTGTTTTGCCCTAAATCAAACCACTAGACCAAACACCAGCGACAACAACTGAGCATAGCCTCCACCACCAACCAACGACTGAGCTCCACCCCCACCACCATTGACAACTGAGCACAGTCCAGCTCCAGCCTCCACCAGCAAGCAACAGCGACCAACGACTCCAGTTCAGACACCAACGACCAGCGATTTTCATACTAGACTCCAGCGAGCGGCGATCCCCTTTTGAATCCAGTCCAGCCGACTCCAGCAATCCCCTTTTAAAACTATGCTTCGAACTATTCTTGAAACATTAACTTCTTTCGTTCTCTAAGATTACGAGGTTCAAACCTTTGAATTCATGTTTCGTGTTCTCGATCATCATGATTCAATGGCCAGAGCTGGACTGAGGTATTGTCAATGAAAACGAAGAAATGTATGATATATATATATATATGTTCAGAAGTTTTATGGTTTCTATTTAATTGTTGTTTGTAGAGAAATTAGTTCATTGTGTTATCTAATTGGGGTCATTTGTGATTTGTTTGAATTTGTGGTTGGTGTTCATTTTTTTTTTTGCAAATTTTTAGCTACAGATCTGAAACTTTTTTGGTTGTGAGTATGTATGATGGAACATAACAATGGGTGATTTTTGTTTGGAATGTTTGCATTAAGGTATTGTCGATGGAAAGTAGTGTAGGAAAGTCTGGTGGTGCTAAGATTTCTAAAAAAATCAGATCTTTGAATATTTAGCCTATTTATTATTATTTATAATTATTTTTTAATTTTTTATTATATTATCGATCAGACCAGTGACCCAACGGTTGAACCAATAACTTGGTTCCTTCACTAGGTTGATGTCTGGGTCGGGTTTTAAAATTATGACTTTATAGACTAAAATGATGCAATTAAAACATTAAGTACCAAAATGAGATAAACTCCATACTTTTGAGACCTCCAGTATAATTAACCCTAAATATTTTATACTCAAAATAGTTCATATGTAACTCATGTGTGCACCTCATTAGTAAAATCAAAAGTAAGCACTGTTTGTTTTTGCATTTGATGAGATTGTATTTTCAACTCTGATTCAAATTTAAATTTGAGTCAAAATAACCGAAAAAAATTTCTCTAACTTTAGGCTCAAACCTATATCAAATTAAGACAAAAACATATTCTGGACCAAAATTGAAGGAGACTCAAATCCTTTTTTTTTTTTTGGAGGGGGAGAGGCTTGAACTCTTTACATCAAGAAGATAAAACATTTACAAGGTATGAAGTACGATTAGATTAAAGGCCAGTTGGTAGGAGACTCAAATCCTATATTAAATTTTCAATGATAATTTTTTATCATATCCAAACCTAAAAGGCTCCTTAGACGGATTAAGTTCTTGCTTGACGTGCCTTTATCTTTAAAGCCGCTACTATCGTCGTTGACTACACCGCCTGTTCTTGTCTCTATTCTTTGAATGTAACTTTTATTTTTTCTCCCTCTCTCTCATACAAAAATTGCTTTAGACAGAAGTTACTTTAGATAGAATTGAAGACAGAAAATACTGTTAGTTGATATTGAGTTAATATTTTAAAAACTCTTCTTTCTTTTAGATGGTATAAAACTCACGAATCTACCACTAAAATATGTTACTATTCCTTTTTTTTTTTGTGGTTAATATTGGTGAAGTTTGTAAGAAAGAGGTTTTAATATTGAAGAGCCTTTTTTTTTTTTTTTCTGTTTTAATATTAGTGAGGGAATGAAGACAAGAAAATGAGAGAAAATAGAATGTTTTGGAGAGAAAAATAAGCTTTAGTACAAGAAGGGAATTTTAAAAAAAATTTGATTAGATATTTGAATTTATTCATTGGAGTGTTCTATGTTAAATCAAGTTTTTTATTCAAATTTAGATTTAAATTTCAATCTAAATTTAAATTATGATTAGAGATGCTCTAATAACAAATTAAAAATTAAATATTGGGTGGACTTCTAATGTGGGTTTACGGGTTGGGCTAGGCGGTACAATGGGACAAACGTCATGGCTCATTAGTTGAGTTTTGTCTTAGTGAATTTGAATGATTCAAAAAATTTGAAGGATAAAAAAGTAAAGTCGTTAAACCAATTAAAGAAGTTGATACAATATGATTTTATAAGATAATTGTGCTAAATATATATTAATTTATTCATTATATACCAATTTAATAACATATAATTATAAATATATTAAATAAAAATTAAATAAATTTTAATTTGAGGCAACTTAAACCTGATAAAAATTCAAAATGGCCCGTGGGTAACTCTAATATTGTTAGAGTAAAAAATTTCAACCATGCATCCAATTAGAGTTGTCAATGAGTTAAATTTGGATTGTGTTTTGATTGTTTCGAATTCGATTGGAAAAGTCTGATCCAATTATTTAACAAATTTTATTTTTGTGATTTATATTTAAATTTTTTAACAATTTGGAATTCGATTTGATATAAGTAACTTAATTTAACTAAATTTTTATTAAATTTATTCAAATAATTATCTAATTTCTTTAATATTTATATATAAATATATACATATTTTGGATCAAATCTTAATTAGATCAGAGTATATTCATATCTGAATTCATCAAATATAAGGTAATAATTTGAATTTAATTTTGGGTTATTAGTAAAAAAATTAATCTATATCTGATTTTTTTTTTATTATAAAGTGTTTAAATTTATGCCATTACTCTCGGCAGTTGGCTAGTATGATATAAGTTGGTCCAGAGCCTTTAGAGGTATGGAAAAAAGATTAAAATTGAGACACGTGAGTCGGTAAAAAAAACAAACTCAACCACTAAATCACCATTAAAAATTAATCAATATCCAATTAATCGATAATTCGGATAAAAATCCATCCATCGGTGTAAATGATTATTCCCCAAAGCAGGAGTTTGGAAATAATTCGAGGAAGAGAGTCATAGGGGATCGAGATCTCCCAACCGTCGGTCTTCTTCTTCCGTCTCTTCGCGTTAACTTGAACTCTCTCTCCATTATTCTTTTCATTTCCGTGCTTCCCAATGGCTTCGCCGCCGACTCTTCCGATCTCCAACCCTCAATCCACCACCACCGGTGACTCCCAACCGCCCATCGCCACCCCAGCCTTCCGAGCGTTTATCACGCGCCTCTCCTCATCCATCCGCCACGGCTTCTCCCAACGCCGTCCGTGGTCGGAACTCCTCGACCGCTCCTCCTTCTCTCGACCGGAGTCTCTCACCGAAGCCGCGTCGCGCGTACGCAAGAACTTCTCCTACTTTCGCGTCAACTACGTTTCCCTACTCGCTTTCGCGCTGGCCATCTCTCTCCTCTCTCACCCTTTCTCTCTCCTTGTCCTATTGGCCTTACTAGCCGCCTGGCTGTTTCTGTACGTCTTCAAATCATCGGATCAGCCTTTGGTGATCTTTGGCCGTACTTTCTCGGATCGCGAAACCCTAGGCGTCTTGTTGGTGTTAACGGTAGTTGTGGTGTTCCTCACCTCCGTTGGATCGCTGCTCATCTCGGCTCTTTTGGTTGGATTGGCGATCGTTTGTGCGCATGGCGCATTTCGAGTTCCGGAGGATCTGTTTTTGGATGATCAAGAGCCGGCTAACGCCGGATTCCTCTCCTTCCTGGGCGGCGCTGCCTCCTCCGCCGCTGCAGCCGCTGCTCCGGCCGTCATAGCGCGCGTGTGATGAAGCCATGGAACTGGTTTTTATCGAAACTAGGTGAAAGCTACGAGGTTTGTTGAACTAGTCTGATTTCTTGTGGATTCATTTCAATTAAATTGCAACTTTATCTTTAGAAAGATGAGATATTGCCTTGGATTTTGGAGGAATTGGTTAGATTTTCTTATACCTATAGATTGGATCTGTAATCCACATGGCGACTGCTTTAGATTTGCCTTCTTTCGTAATTTCTTATCGAGCTAGTTATCAACTTGTTAGACAATCTGTCGATCTATTGTTATTCAATTGATATATAAAGATTATCTTTTCTATTATTTTTCCTCCCCCAAGTTATATATTTTAGTATAGGAATTTCAAATAGATGAAAAGTAGTATTAGGTTTTCTCCATATCCAATTTGCTTCAATTTTTCGCTGTAAAGTTCAATTGCAGTGTTAGTTTTTTCACATTAAGTCATGAATTGTTTTGTTTAGGCTAGAAATTTGTTTAATGGCATTATACAAGATATTGCAGAGGCCAATTATTACAATGAGCAGTTTAATTTTGAATGTTTTATTATGGCATCATGGAATCAATATTTGCAGGGGAAATGCTGATCTGATCATAAGATGTTTGGTTACTGAAATTCGTGGACTATAAATATTCACTGAGGGTTCAGATTTCACATCTAGTTGGCTGTGAAGAGATCAGAATTTGAATATTTTCTTTGTTAAATTGTTTGTGTTCATTGTGAATGTTGATGGTTTGAGTTTGCAGAGGGCAATATGGTTTGGAGAGTTTCTCAAGGTAGTATGGTTCTGCTATATGGTAAAAAAATTCATTAGTTCTTGAGATTGTGATGGTTACATTTTAAGAATTAGGAGTGTCCGTGGGGAAGTGTGATGCTACATTGGTTTGGCTGTAAGGAAATCAAATCCGCTATGAAAAAATGTGGTTTTGATTAGTTTGAAAATTTTGCTTGCTGTTAATATTATATGATAAGGATTGGATATGGCATGATTTAGGACAATTAGGAAGAATGCATAACTATAACTAGAGGTTACCCACTACCTCCTTTGGAGTGCATGAATGAGTGTATTTTCTCATCAGTATGCCGAATTTTTTTTCTTAATGTGATTGATGTAAGCTTAGGTTTCAACTTTATGCTCTGTTACAAAATGATTGGTAGTATACATGCGACATGTTTCATACAACTAAGATAGTTTTGTAGGAGTTGTTGGGAACAAATTGCAGTTGTATGAAGCATAGAAATATAAAGGATGTGGTTAACATATATAACTGGATGCAGAGATCACCAGATGATATTTGAGAACTGTTTCTTTTTTGGGTGCGTGTGAAGGTAAAAAGAACAAGTTTGGTTTATTTTGCTGATGCTAACATTTAGCTTAGATTAGCGCATTATGAAACCTTTTCATGTGAAGCTTATTGTGTGAGAAGATAACAAGTTAACGACAATGTGATGATTAGAAATATAGGCAATTCTAGAGTAGCTGATTGGTGTGAGATAAGTTGTGTACGGAGGGCGCGGAGTCAGAATTTTTTTTTGGGTGGGCACTCTAATTGCATAAAGCTTAATTGTTTTTCTCTTAATCAATAAAAATAAAATAGCAGATTTATATATGTTACATCATCTTTGATACATAAAAAAAGCTGAAACCAATATATATATATACATACATACATACATATGTGAGTGTGTGTGTGTGTGTAAACAAAAAAAAACCTTAATTTCAACCATTTATAAAAAGTGAGGCAAATTACCATTTTTGTAATTAACTCGATAGCTGTTAGCTATCTATTGACCATCCATTAGGTTACACAATCGAATTTTTTTAATCTTCAGCTCTTCAATTTATTCCATAAACTAGGTTCCAAATATTATTGTTGAGATATTAAAATTGCAAACTCAATAAACCAAAACTTAAGAACTAACCATAGTGATACCTTTGACAATCAATTGAAACAAAACAAACACAACAATCTATCTTATCGGGATGAGTTTGTCTTAGAAAAATGTAAGTCAATTGTATTCACTTTCACTTTCAAATTAGAAAAGTTATTATGTAAAGTTTGTTGTATTAAATAAGTTGTGGCAATCAACATTTATCTAGCACCAACATTTCTTGACGTAATGCCCGGATAAAATCTTTATGCAAGGTGATTGATATATGTTAGAGGTAGTCATTTATAATGCCTGGAAAGGTTTACGAAACGTGATCTAGCTTGGTGACTAGCAGTGACACAAAAGTTACGTCCTTGAGCGTAGTACATGAAGACGTGATTCTGTGTATGTATAAAGATAGGAAAAATGGTATGGGTTTGAAAGCACGCGCAGCCATCCAAGATGAGCAGGATGGATCGACCTAAAGATCCTTGGGAATTGATATCTACGCTTAATTACTTGATCTGTAGGGTTTCGTTTCATCTGTAGCAATTTGAGTGCTATTTGGTCGTTGGCTTTTCCAGACATCTAACTAGTGTTGCTTGACAGCAGGCTTGTGATGAACAGCGCGGTCACAGAGACTTAAGAATGATGAGCTGCAGAGCTGGGAGGAGATTAGGCCTTTCGGGATTAGTTTAGTAAGAAATATAAATGAAATCTGAAGTTTTAGCAAACATCTTCGGCTCACTAGGAAATAAGAATGCTTTGTAGTCAGCTGACATTCTATAAGTTCCTGACAGTGGATGATGTTTTAAGATATTAGTGTATGTATGCCATTTACCCTTCATTGACTATTTATCTATGCATTCATGTACAGGAAACCAGTGTATCCGGTAGTTCACTGTCACACAAACTCAGCTCTCACATTGAATTACTTGGTCACCAGTCATCGGTGTACTTGATCTAGGATTTCTTGGAAGATGTAACGGTAACTAAAACTTGGGGTGACATGCTCATTCAGAGTTTCTTAATAGTTATTTTTATGTAATTGATCAGGTTTGTTTGATTACATTGCTAGTCTCTCCACTTTGATCCTATAAGATCCACTGAATAAAACATATGATAGCCGTTCGGCTTCTTCATTCTGTGTGATTTTCCATTTCTTGATGCTCTAAGACTGGTCGGCTTGAAGGTGAGAAGAACCCACGGACAGAGCTGTTAATCTAGACATTCAGAGTTCAACACTTGATAACTCTTTGGAATTAGACCATGAGGAATTTATCCCTCGTTAATACTCTAGGCTTAAGTTTAACGTGGATGATATGCTTTTGACTAGACCGGAGAGAAGATTAGTTGTGGTGTGTACACGTAAGTTGACTTAGATATTTTTAATCGTTAAACCCCCCAAAAAAAAAATGATGGAAAAGAAGTAGCTACAGTTGGTGAGGAATTGAATTGGGCATACCAATGTTAGAATTGATTAAGTGGATCTAAGGTTTATGAAATGGTCCAAACCAGCATTCATGAGGAATTGAATTGGGCATACCAATGTTAGAATTGATCAAGTTGGTAGGTCTAAGGTTTATGAAATGGTCCAAACCAGCATTCATTGTGCGTTATACTAATTGTGTGGTCAAATGGCCATAAATGGGCAACCAAACTTGGGTGTCTTGTTGGAAATGACTTCCGAAGTGAATCAATTAGGTCTTCCCACCAAGTTGGGGTATAATTTGGGTGGGCCAATCCAAATTCTATTCGAGTTTAACTCAAAAAAAGAGTTTGAGTTAGAATTTTAATACTTGAGTTAGATTTGGGCAAAAAAATTTCAACCCGAATTAAATTTGGGCAATTTTCGAGTTGAGACCTCGGGTTGTTGGGTTCAACTCGAATATTAAAATCGAGTTGAACTCGAATATACATAAATATATAAATATTAGTATTTATTTTCACTCTTTAGAATTTAGATTTTTTACTTCACTTCACTTCAAGTCTTCACTCCTGCTTCTCCATTACTATCAGATCCCTCTCTCACTTGCACTTCTCCCTCTCTCAATTGTCACTCAGTTGAGTCGTTTCAGACTTTTAGCCTCCTTCTCTCACTTGTCATTCCTCCTTCTCTCACTTCCTCTCTCTTCTTGTGCGTTTCACCCTTCATCTGAAATCACTTTAAAAAATCAGATCTACACTTAAAAAAATCAAATTTACATTGCAAAAAATTAACCCGAATTAAGTAACTATAGCTCAACTCTATTTTAAACCCAAAATGAACCCAAATTTAACTCAAGCCCGCCTAAATTAAACTTGGGGCAATATTCGGGTTGAGTATATCAGGTTGAGGTAGGGTTAGGATTAGGGTTAAGGTTGAAGATTATATACTTAAGATTGGGCTAGAGTTGATCTCTCAACCCGCCCAACCAGCTTGAGTTGCACCCCTATCACCAATGGGCTAAAACATTAAAAGCTTGAAAGAAATGAATGGTCGAGATTAAACAAGAAAAAAGATTTGTTTGTGAACAATGATGTATCTTCATATACGTAAAAATATATGAGCGTGTTTGGTTTAGTTTTCGAAATCTGTTTTTTGTTCTCAAAATTTTAAAAACATCTAAAATGTGTTTATTTAGTTTTTTTGTTCTCTAATTTTTTGAAAATTTTGGGAATTGAGATGTGATTTTAGAGAACAACAAAATGATGTTTTCATTGTTTTCTAAGGCAAAATGAAAACAAGAGAAATAACTCATCCTTTTTAATGAGATCCACTCATCAAACTTCCTTAGGAGCAAAATATATATATTTTTTTCTTTCAAGTATAAAAGCCTTTCACTGTCTGTTCTCTGTGTGTGTGTGTGTGTGTGTGTGTGTGTGTGTGTGTGTGTGTGTGTGTGGGCAACGAGGCTGTGTAACAAAGACAGAGATCTTCGACGAAGATGAAGACATATCTCTTTCTCTCTCTTTCTTTGTGTGTGTGTAGCTCCTCCTCTTTAACGAAGACGAAGACAGGACTTTTTTTTTCTAGATCTGAGTTCAGTGTTTGTTTGTGGGTTTTGGTGGTGCTTTGTGGGTTGTGGTGGTGGTGGGTTTTGGGTGGTTGTGGATTTCGGAGGTGATTTGTGGGTTTTGACGGTGGATGTGGGTTTCGGTGGTGGTTGTGGGTCTTGATGCACAGTGAGTCTTGATGCACATGTTTTCGGTGGTTATGCGTTTCTCATTTGGTTTTGTGCTTTGTGGTCTTGATGTACAATGAAAGAGAGAGAGAGATCGAGAGTTTAAACAAATTTTATAATTTTTGTTTTTTAAAAATATATAACTAAACATGTTTTACAATTTAAAAATTTTTAAAAATACTTTTTTAAAATTCTTCTCAAAAATAATTTTCAGATACTATTTTTTGAGATGCAAACCAAACAAGCCCTATGTTTTTAATCTCTTTTAATATATTTTTCTTAAATTTCTCAATATTAGTAAGAGGTGTCAATCGTGTTGTGTTATTTTCATGTCCTGTCAATTTTGATGGTATTATTTTTGTTTTGGGTCACTTTCAAGTGCTAATAAAAAATTAAAAAAATCTTATTTTTTGTCTACATTACTCTTTAAATACTTATTTTTTTATCTATAGTATTTATTAATTGTATTATTTTAGCGCACTTGAATTAACTTATTTATTACCTGTGTTAACTAATTGTATTATTTTCGAGTTTTGTATTGGGTTGGGTTCATGTTAATGGATATAATTGACACCCCTATAAAAATATAACTTGATTCATTAACATGACACAAAATTATAAGTTTTGAATCTTATTTAAACCACTCGTTTTGTAAACGAAAAAAATTGATCTGACATGATTAATAAACAAATTGAGTATGAAAAAATTAATTAAAAGAAATATATGGTACGACTCGTTTATATATTAGTTTTACATAATTATACACGAACGAATCTAATATAATATGACTAATCATTATCCATGCTTGAAGGTATTATATAACAAACAAAAAATTTTTACACAATTGTCCAAATTTAAAAAGAATGACCTAAAAATTTTCATACCAATTCTTCTTTTAAAATGAATTGAAATATATTGCCGATCATATCCTCTATATTAATAAAACTGTTGTAAAAATATATAAAACTTTTTAAAACAATACCACATATAAAAATTCCTCCAAAAAAAAAATACTAACTTAATTTATTGAAATTTACAATCTTTAAGTAATAAATAAAATTTTTCTCATTTATAAGACTCGTGAATTTACCACCATTTAATCCAATAACAAAATACAATTATAAACACAGTCACCATATTTTTAGTCCACCTTATCCCCATTTAATAAATATCTCAAACAAAAAAAATAAAATAATAACGCAATTAAATTCATAATCTTTAAATGATAAATAAAATCAATCAAATCTTATGTATTTATAAAACTCATGAATTTATCACCACTATCACCATTCAATCCCAAATAGCACGATAAAATTATAAATTTAATTATCAAATTTTTAATCCTCCACATATAAATTACACAGAAATATACTCTCACACATTTATTTTTTGGCTACCAACAAACCTTCCTAACTAATAATTGTTTTATTAGAAATATAATAATTAAAGTTTTTATGATAAAATAATAATAAAATAATATCTAATTAAAAAATAGGGTAAAAAATACGGACTTCTCTTGAGTTTTGACAATATTATGTGGACACCCCCCAAATATTTTATAAATAACACGGAGATCCCTAGAGATTAAAATTTATTACACAAAGACCCCTCTGTCTCCCTTCCTTCAATATTGCTAATAAAAAGTGATCACTTTATCACCCAAAAAAATTTATTATTTTTATAATTGCCTTTCTCCAATTTTAGTAGCCAAAAAAATTAAAAATTTAATAAAATAAAATAACATTTGATTTAGTACCCAAAAAATTGATATAATTTAATACCAAAAAAAATTTGATTAAATGAATTTAAATATTAATTTGATAACAATAAAAATTAATTTGATATTAATTCGACAAATTTGAATATAAATTGGACAAAATTAAATGTCAATTTTTTATAAAAATATATATTAATTTACAATTTAAGGTTCATTTCGTGTTGAATATTATTTGTTGTTGATTAAACTAACATGAAATTGACCTTAAATTATAATTTTTTTTGTTGTACATAAACTTTAAAATTTGTATTTAAACCCGTAAAATTTAAATATAGATTTTTTCACACCATAGCGTATTCTTTCTTACTATATCATTTGATATATTTTCTTTTGGTCAAGATTCAACCGCACATACTTAAACCAAATCAATTGTTCACCCCCACTTTTTGTTTAAAAAAATGGCTCACCTTCGCTTGTTAAACTCAAAAATCTTTGGTTCACATAAAAATAAGTGAAAATAAATTAAAAAGTTGACAAAAAAATTTGAAAAATTAATAGTTCAAAAAAATTTAGTACCAAAGTTATAACAAATAGAGCGAATATTAAAAAAAACTAAAAAAATAGTCTATATAAAAACTATTATCAATGAGAATTTTAGAAGAATTTAGGCCTTGAATCAATTAAGACTTACAGGCACAAATGTGAAACTCAAATAAAAAAGACCTCAAATCGTGAAGTGCTATTTTTTTATTTACATTTAAGTGTTATTTATAAATTAAGAAGCAAGTGACAAAATACATGTTGTCAAATATATTAAATTTTGAATTAATTTTATGGAATAAATAATTGTATAACATGTAATTTCATATGTTTTATGGAATAAATAATAAAAAAATAAAACTAGGAAAACATAAAAAATAAGATAATAATATGAGAGAGAGAGACAGAGAGAGAGAATATAAGATAGATATAAAGAGAGTTAAATAAGTGATAAGAGTCTTGGAAAAAGTTGGTATAAAAACCGTCAAGTTAATAATCATCAAACGATCTGAGTCACAAAAAGCTAAAAATAAAGAAATGTCATTTTTTGGATATTTCTCTCTTTTTTCTTTTCTCTTGTTTGGCATAAAAGTGGAAATTTTTTTTTAAAAAAAAAAGAAAAATTAGAAAAACAAAACAAAGAACTTTTTATTCTCTTTGGTTGGAAAGAAG